CGCAGGTGGGCCAAGGGGCGATCCGCAGCGCCTGGCCCGCTTTGGGTCCGGAGGCGTGTCTGAAGACCCCAGCGTGCGCACCAAAAGTCGCCTCTTCTCCTGACTTTCTCTTCAGCCATTGGGACCAAGAATCATAGAATCATAGAATCAAAGTAAATATGTGAGAGGAAGCCACAGGGAGGAGGGAGCAAGTTTGTTTTCTGCTTCCTTGGAGACTAGGACACGGAACAATGGCTTCAAACTACAAGAGAGGAGATTCCATCTGAACATTAGGAAGAACTTCCTGACTGTGAGAGCCGTTCAGCAGTGGAACTCTCTGCCCCGGAGTGTGGTGGAGGCTCCTTCTTTGGAAGCTTTTAAGCAGAGGCTGGATGGCCATTTGTCAGGGGTGATTTGAATGCAATATTCCTGCTTCTTGGCAGGGGGTTAGACTGGATGGCCCATGAGGTCTCTTCCAACTCTTTGATTCTATGATTCTATGATTCTATGAAAGAGTTGGAAGAGACCTCATGGGCCATCCAGTCCAACCTCCTGCCAAGAAGCAGGAATATTGCATTCAAATCACCCCTGACAGATGGCCATCCAGCCTCTGTTTAAAAGCTTCCAAAGAAAGAGAGAGAGAGAGAAAGAGAGCCCCTCTGGCTGGGGGTATCTCCCACCTCCGCTCCCTCCTTTGTTTTTGCGCCTACCTTCAGGAAATGTGGGCCTCTCCACCTCTCTCTCTCTCTCTCTCTCTCTTGGTCCCAATGGCTGAGGAGAAAGTCAGGAGAAGAGGTGTCTTTTGGTGCACACGCTGGGGTCTTCAGGCACGCCTCTGGACCCAAAGCGGACCAGGCAAGGGAGCAAGTGCAGCAAGTGTAGTTACTGGGATGTATAGTTCACCTACAATCAAAGAGCATTCTGAACTCTACCAATGATGGAATTGAACCAAATATGGCACACAGAACTCCCACAACTAACAGAAAATATATATCAATGATTGGTTGGGGGGAGGGCATGCCAAAATACTGTTTGCTTACCGTTGAAAATTACCTAGGGCCGCCTCTGCATTGACCTGACAGCTTTCCAAGTTAAAAGTGGTTTGAATCATGACCTTGAAGCAGTATGCATTTTCCTCCAGATATACCTGAGCTTTTTTGCAACATTTCAACATAATTGGATGCTTTTACAAAATAGTAATGATGTGATCCCAAATAAATAACCTTCCTCAAGTTTAATTAAAGTCTCTTTATGTACAAATTGGCATAAAAGGGAACTAACCTTTTCCTGGCTTGAGGCAAAGCCCATCTTTCTGATTTGAAGCTCACAATGGTTAGGTCCAAAATGGGAGAAAACATAAACAAGTCAGACAAAAAGATGTATTCGTCACAGAACTCTGAAATACAGAAAAAAAATATATCATTCACTGTGTACTGTTAAATTATGAAAATGGAGAGAAGTGATGTCATGGGTGAATTAAGGGCAACAGCTTCCCTTCCAGTTCACATCTTAGCCCAGCTATGAAATTGAGGTATTGCCTCTCCAAGAATCCAAGTTTCCTTCAGTACCAACGTTGTGGCAGTTGTGGGTTACTGATATTGTAAGTAACAATAATGAATGGTTTTATATTTAAATTCAATTTTTTTTAAAAAAAAAAAAAGCCAATAAGGTTAATGCAATATCACTTTTATTGTGGATGTTCAGAACATTAACCCCTCAGTATTCATCCTCCTTTCCCCACCCCTGAGTGTGTAAGTGCCTTCATATTATGTCCACTTATGTGACAGCATCAGTTTCATGGTTTTTGCCAGTTCTTTAATCTGAAATAGAAACTAGAGCTCCTGGCATTCTTTGGTGGTCTCCCATCCAAGTACTAACCAAGGCTTACCTTCCAAGATCAGAGGGGATCCAATGCCTTTAGAGGATTTAATTAATAACCAGACTTGGGAAAATGGCTGCTAGCAAATATTCATTCCCCTGCCTCCATTTTTTTACTCCTTTACCCATACATTCAAGCCTATACTTCCCTATACTTACCTGGAGATGGTTTGGCTTTATCTTCAGATCACCCCATCTCTCTTTCTCCCTTTTCTCTCTGAGTTGGTGTCTTCCAGTCCTCTTGTAGTATTATGACAATCCCATGGTTTCATAAGGTTTTCTAAGGCAAGACATATTCAGATGTGGTTTGGATTGTTTCTTCCCTCGGAACAGAGCCTACAGCTCCTGGTTTTCCTTGGTGTTCTCCCATTCAGATGCCAACCAGGGTTGATCCTGCCAGAGGCGGCCCTAGGTAATTTTCAATGGTAAGCAAACAGTATTTTGGCGCCCCCCGCAACCAATCACTGATATATATATTCTGTTCGTCGTGGGAGTTCTGTGTGCCATATTTGGTTCAATTCCATCATTGGTGGAGTTCAGAATGCTCTTTGATTGTAGGTGAACTATATATCCCAGTAACTACAACTCACATATGTCAAGGTCTATTTTCCTCCAAGAGCACCCCTGGGCAAAATCAACTGTACTGCAAATGCTTACTTTGCGTAATGGTTAAGCCGCCCCTGGATCCTGCTTAGCTTCCAGAACTGGTTGCTTTTAGAGGTTTTAACAACCTGCACTTTGTGTAATTGGCTGGAAAATACTTTTCCCCATTCCCCTTCTTTCCTCCTTGGTCTCCCATGTTTGGTGCCTGGAGATGATTTGCCTTGGACTTCCAGCCATCCCCACGCTGTGTGTAAATGCCTCCAAGTCGCCTTGGACTTAAGAGGCATTTGCTCCTGGATTTCATCAGGTTTTCTTAGGTATGAAATGCCCAGAGGTGCTTTGGACAGGACAATTTCTTTCTTTGAAGCAGGGGATCTTTGCATTGTCAAAGGCTTTCATGGCCGGAATCACTGGGTTGCTGTGAGTTTTCTGGGCTGTATGGTCGTGTTCCAAAAGCATTATCTTCTAACATTTCATCTGCATCTATGGCAAGTCATCCTCAGAGGTTGTGAGGTCTGTTGGAAACTAGGAAAGCGAGGTTTATATATCTGTGGAATGTCCAGATATATAATGTGGGAGAAAGAACTCTTGTCTGTTTGAGGCAGGTGTTAATGTTGCAATTGGACACCTTGATTAACATTTAATGGCTGTTTACTGCCTGGGGGAATCCTTTGTTGGAAGGTAATTAGCTGGCACTGATTATTTCTTTTCTGGATTTCCCCTATCTTGATAGTTGTTCTTTATTGACTGTTATAATTTTAGAGTTTTTTAAATACTGGTAGCCAGATTTTGTTCATTTTCATAGTTTCCTCCTTTCTGTAGAAATTGTCCACATGCTTGTGGATTTCAATGGCTCCTCTGTGTAGCCTGACATGGTGGTTGTTAGAGTGGCCCAGCATTTCTGTGTTCTCAAATAATAGGCTGTGTCCAGGTTGGTTCATCAGGTGCTCTGCTATGGCTGTCTTCTCTGGTTGAAGTAGTCTGCATTGCCTTTTATAGAATCATGGAATCAGAGAGCTGGAAGTGACCTCATGGACCATCCAGCCCAACCCCGTGCCCAGTAGCAGAAAAATTGCTTTCAAAGCACCCCTGACAGATAGCCATCCAGCCTCTGTTTAAAAGCCTCCAAAGAAAAAACCTCCACCACACTCCAGGGCAGGGGGTTCCACTGCTAAACAGCTCTCACAGTTAGGAAGCCATTGTTCCATGACATATTTTCCAGGGCAGCAAAAAACAAGCTTGTTCCCTCCTCCCTATGACTTCCCCTTGCATACATGGCCATCATGTCTCCTCTCAGCTTTCTCTTGTGAAGGCTAAACATTCCCAGCTCTTTCAGCTGCTCCTCATAGGGCTTGTTCTCCAGACTCTTGATCACCCTTCTCTGGACACATTCCAGCTTGTCAACATCTCCCTTCAACTGCAGTGCCCAGAACTGGACACAGTATTCCAGGTGTGGTCTGGCCACTGGAGAATAGAGGGGTAGCATGAATTCTAGACACTAGACTCCTTTTTATACAGGCCAAAATCTCATTGGTTGTTTTAGCTGCTGCATGACACTGTTGGCTCATGTTTACCTTCTTCATGGGGACATACTGCTGTCAAGCAAGAACTAAACTGGGCTCACCCTTCTTAGTTTATTTATTTATTTACCGTATTTAAATAAATACTTGATCTGAAGATGTGGTAGGATCTGACTCCTTTAGGAGATTTGATACCCTGTACTTTGGGGGATTGACTGGTAAATCTTCTTTCCCTTACCTCCCTTTGTTCATAGAATCATAGAAGTGTAGAGTTGGAAGATACCTCGTCGGCCATCCAATCCAGAGACCTTGTGGGCCATCCAATCCAACTCCCTGCCAAGAAGGAGGAAAACTGCTTTCAGAGCACTCCCACCGATGGCCATGTAGCCTCTGTTTAAAAGCCTCCAAAGAAGGAGCCTCCACCACACGTCGGGGCAGAGAGTTCCACTGCTGAACAGCTCTCACAGTCAGAAAGTTCTTCCTAATGTTCAGGTGGAATCTCCTTTCCTATAGTTTGAAGCCATTGCTCCCCGTCCTAGTCTCCAGGGCAGCAGAAAACAAGCTTGTTCTCTCCTCCCTATGACTTCCCCTTCTTACATATTTATACATGGCTATCATGTCTTCTCCCATAGGCTGAACATGCCCAGCTCTTTAAGCCGCTCCTCATAGGGCTTATTCTCCAGACCCTTGATCATTTTAGTCGTCCTCCTCTGGACACATTCCAGCTTGTCAGAGGAGATTTAATACCCTGTACTTTGGGGGACTGGCTGGCCAATCTTCTTTCCTTCACCTCCCTGATTTCCTCCTTGGTCTTCCACGTTTGGTGCCTGGAGATGTGCTGGCATTGCCTCCAAGCCACGCTGCCTCTCCTCCTCCTCCTCTTCTTCTCATCCCCCCCCCCTCGCCTTCCACCGCGTCGCCCCAAAGATGGACCAATGAGAGGGCAGGGTGTGGTGGCCGCGGTCCTCCCCTCCTTCCCCTGTCCTCTCGGCCCAAAGGAGGCGGGATCGGGGCGGAGGAGGCGGAGGCGGAGGCGGCCGGAGTGCGGAGCTCTGCTTCAGACAGGCGCACGCCGCCTCTGTTTGTATACAGCGCGCCTGGCAGCCGGCGGACGCTTCTGCCTCCTTCATTGTTCTCTCCCTGCAGCAGGAGCAGCAACGAGGGGAGCAGCCCTCCAAGAGAGGCAACCGCGGCTCTCCCAATCCCCTCTATAGAGGCGGAAGGGAAGCCAGGGAAGAGAGAGAGAGAGAGAGAGAGAGAGGCTTTTCCTCGCCTGCCTTCCCCACCCAGGCAGCGCAGTCCCTCCCGCGAGCGATGACCCACTCGCGGCAGCACTGTGGTCCGCGCTCGGGTCTCTTCGGACATCTCGACCAATAGGCGAGGCGGGAGAAGAAAGAGAAGAGCCATCCAGTATCAGGCAGGCAAGGGAGGGTGTCCCCAGCCTCCCCACGCTCCTTGATCTGTAAGGAAAAGGTGTCTCTTTAGGTGGAAGGATCGCGCCCCTGCCACCCTCCTCCTCCTCGACTCTCAACTCCTTCCTCGCCTCTCTCTGTGGCTTCGTCCTTCTGAAAGGACCATGAGCAGCTGGGTGGCCACCTGGTTCCTTCTGGGGATGAGCCTCGGAGCCCCCTCGATCGCCAAAGGTGAGCAGAGCACCCCCCAAGACTGAGAATCTCCCATTTCCGTGGACACCCGAGGGAGGGATTGTGGGGCCTGAACTCCCGGGGGAGGGAGACCACCCCTCGTCGTTTCTTTAAAGTCGCGACAAAGTCGGTCGGGAAAGTGAATCGATGCAAGTCATGGTTTTGATCCAGGGGGATGTAAAGGAAGCCAGGGATGTTGCTAGCCTTCCTTCTTCCCCAGACCTGTCTCGACGTGGGTGTTATCTTAAGGGGTCTTGCTTTGCCTTAATGCTCATTCTGTGTCGCCCACCATTGGAAATCCAGATCAGGCAAGATAGAATAATAAGAACTAGGAAATGAGGTTGATGATATCTGGGTGGCTGTGAGTTTTCCAGGCTGTATGGGCATGTTCCAGAAGCATTCTCTCCTGACGTTTCGCCCAGCGTCCTCAAAGGTTGTGAGATCTGTTGGAAACTAATGAAGGGAGATTTATATATCAGTGGAAGGTCGGTTTAAAATCCGAAGTGGACGGTGACTGGGTGCTGAAAACCCCTTGGAACAGTTTGCAAACGCAACGCGGGGATTTTCCAGCTCACCCGACTCCTGTTTCTAAATAGGACACCCTCCGCCTGAAAGGTGCAGTGATGGAGGAGAAAATAGGAGAGAGAAGGGGAGGGGAGAGATTACTTCATAGCCCTCTGAAATTGTCGGGTGGGTTGAGAGAGATCCATGCACCGTGTGTCTTTAAGGGGAACTAAGCACTGAGCAGATAGATGGGGGAAATTGCCTAGACCCAGCAGACAGGCAGCCATTAGATCATTTCGATCTATTGATTTCTTCGCCCAGATAAAGAGGAAGGACCAACCGAGATCAGAGGAAAGTTATGACCAATCCCTGCATCCAGCCTGTGCTTTGGAGGCAGTGCCACCCTCTCCAAAAAGTTGCTGGGGAAAAAGAATATTTCTTGACTGTGAGTTTCCCTGTGCTGGATGGTCATATCCCAGAAGCATTCTCTCCTGACGTTTAGCACACATCCATGGCAAGCATCCTCAGAGGTTGAGGGGTCTGTTGGAAACTAGGCAAGTGGGGTTTATATATCTGTGGAATGTCCAGGCAAGAATCAGTCAGGGCCAGCTAACACCTCCAAACAAAGGTTCTCACAGACAGCAATCAGCCAGGCTTTGAAGCTGCAAGGCCATTCTATGCTAATTAAGGTGGCCAATGGCAACATTCACACTTCCCTTAAAGTGTTTTCAGGGCTGTATGGCCATGCTTCAGAAGCATTCTTTCCTGACGTTTCACAGACATGCATGGCAAGCATCCTCAGAGGTTGAGAGGTCTGTTGGAAACTAAGCAAGTGGGTTTATGTATCTGTGGAATGTCCAGGCAAGAATCAATCAGGGCCAGCTAACACCTCAAAACAAAGGATTCCCCTCAGGCAGCAACTAGCCAGGCTTTGAAGCTGCAAGGCCATTCAATACTAATCAAGGAGGCCAATGGCAACATTCACACTTGCCTCAAGTGTTTTCCAGGCTGTGTGGCCATGTTCCAGAAGCATTCTCTCCTGATGTTTCGCCCACATCAATGGCAGGCGTCCTCAAAGGTTGTGAGGTAGATTGGAAACGGGAATATTTCGCGTCCAAGCCAGCAAAAGTGCTTTCTTTAGCGACATGGCTCTTTTTTAAAAGTTTGGTCCATCCTTGACCCATTTTGCTTTGTTGGGGAGAGGAGGATGCAAATCCCTTCAGCAGAAAATGCCTTCTCACTGCTGGGCTTTCTCCTCCCAGACAGAGATCTCTGCTGGCGGAGGGAAGATTTCTCTCCTGCTTCCCTCCTCTCTCCTCCCCCGGTTCTTCCCAAAGGAGCCTCTCATCTCTCTCTCTCTCTCTCTCCTCTTAACAGTGATTTGCTCGTCTTGAGTTTGCTTGGGAAGCAGGCAGGGCTGGGAAGGGAGGGAGAGCGAGAGAGAGAGAGAGGGAGAGAGCGAGGGGAGAGAGAAACGCCTGGTTCGCCTCGCATTTACCGCAGGGGGTGGATGGATATAGGGATAGAGGGAGACCTGGGTATTTGAAGTTCTTCCTCTGGAGCGCTCGCGTGGGTTTCCTTTGCCTCGCCTCCAAAATAAAGAGTGGATTCCCCATCCCTCCAGACGCCCCCTCCAAACAAAAAATCCCCCAGGCAGCAATCAACCCGACTTTGAAGCTGCAAGGCCGTTCCCATTAGCTGGACATTAGAAGATGATCTCTCTCCAGGAGAGCTCTTTGGAAATGAGACGCGCATGGTGGTTATATTGGAAGTGGGAATATAGAAGCAGCAGTGCGGTTTGAAAGGGAAGAGGGCTGCCATGATTCACACTTGAACATTGCAGCACTCTGATTATTCCCCTTTAAACTGCCATGCTGCCATTCTTCGGGGTCCTGGAATTTGCTTTGCAGAGAGAAGCCATTAGAAAACTGTCCGATGCCTTCCTCACACTAGAGAATGAATCAACTTAAAATCCGGTTTCTGCTTCCTGCAGAATTCTGGGGTTTGTAGTTTTGTGGAGGCTGTCAAAGGCTCTTCCCTAAACTGCAAACCCCATAATTCTGCTGGAGGCAAAAACTGGATTTAAAGTGGATTCATTCTCTAGTGTGATGAGTGGGGAATCGGTTCAGTTCGACATCACTTGAACTGCTAGGGCTCCATGCTATGGGATCATGGGATTTGCCGTTTTAAAAGGTCTATACAAGGCAGTCATGCCGGCCACATGACCTTGGAGGCGTCTACGGACAAAGCCGGCTCTTCGACTTAGAAATGGAGATGAACATCAACCCCCAGAGTCGGACATGACTGGACTTAATGTCAGGGGAAAACCTTTACCTGTACCTTAACCTGTACTTCGACTTCCAGGTGTTTTGGATTCCAACTCCCACAATTCCTAACAGCCTCAGGCCCTTTCCTTTTCCCCCTCAGCCGGGAAAAGGAAGGGGCCTGAGGCTGTTAGGAATTGTGGGAGTTGGAGTCCAAAACACCTGGAGGGAAGAACTTTCCCCATGCATATTCCGCCAATGAGTTCTGCTCCCTCCCACGATTCCATAGCACTGAGCCAAGGCGGCTCAAGTGGTGTTAAACTGCATTAATTTTTCAGTGCAGATGTACCCCAAGAGAGCTTTCGAACCTCAGAACCCCGCCGTCCATCTCCTGGAGCAATAGCAGTGAAAGAGTGAGTCGCCCTCTGAATGTGGACCCCGAAAGAGAAGGGAAAGGCAGTCCTGGCGTGTAATAATTCTTCTACCAGTTTGATCTCACTTTCTCCTGGCTCAATGCTATGGAATCCTTGCCGTTCGGCGGGGCACCAGCCCTCTTTGGAGAGAAGGGCGAAGACCTTGTCAAACTACAACTCCCGTGGATGCCATAGCATTGAGTCACGGCGGGTAAAAGTCGGGTCATCCAGCTGCGGCAACCAAGCCCAACCCGCCGCCGCCGCTGCCTGCGTCCTATTCAGAGATCTCCCTGCTGCAGCCACTCAGCCACATTTCTGCCTCCCACACTGCATCGCACACACAAACCCGCCGCTGGTGGTGGAGACGCTGCTGCTCTAGGTATCGCAGCCACTGCCTTGCCGACTCCCTTCCCCACCCCCATTTCTCCCGTTTATGTTGGTCGGGTCTCGTGGGGAGCCGCAATCCCAGCAACTCTATGACTACTGACCGCCACCATTCAGAATGACTGTGTGTTTCCTAAGTAGGAGGAGAGGACCATCCCAATGGGAATTGGGGCAGCGTCCCTCTGGGATGGTCTTTATGTCCCGAGTTCCGACAGTTTGTGGACGCACGGGTTGTCTTCTTTGTTCTTAAGTCCTTGGGGAAGCAGCCTAGCTCCTTTGCTATAACCAACCCCATTAATGACCAGACATAAGAATTGGGATAAAGTAAGGAGCCCCCAGTGGCACAGTGGGTTAAACCGCTGAGATGCTGAACTTGCTGACCAAATCTGGGGAGCAGCGTGAGCTCCCGCTGTTAGCCCCAGCTTCTGCCAATCTAGCAGTTCAAAAACATGCAATTATTTATCATGTTGGGAGAGAACCAAACAGTTGTATTGTATTTAAAAGAACAAAACAAAAAACCCACAAAGTTTGTACACTTGGCATTCTATTAAATGCCCTTTGACCAGTAGCTGGCCACTTGGTGTTGCTATAAGAAGGTCCTCCATTGTGCATGTGGCAGGGCTCAGGTTGCATTCTAGTAGGTAGTCTGTGGTTTGCTCATCTCCACACTCGCATGTCGTGGATTCCACTTTGTGGCCCCATCTCTTCAGGTTGGCTCAGCATCTCATGGTGCCAGAGCACAGTCTATTCAGCGCGTTCCAAGTTGCCGAGTTTTCTGTGTGCCCAGGAGGGAGCCTCTCATTTGGTATCAGCCATTGATTGAGGTTCTGGGTTTGAGGCTGCCACTTTTGGACTCTTGCTTGCTGAGGTGTTCCAGCAAGTGTCTCTGTAGATCTTAGAAAACTATTTCTTGATTTAAGTCATTGGTGTGCTGGCTGGTATCCATACAGGGGATGGAAATAGATTGGTAGGTACCACTCTGGCAGGAAGGTAACGGTGCCCCATGCAGTCATGCTGGCCACGAGACCTTGAAGTTGTCTACAGACAATGCAGGCTCTTCGGCTTAGAAAGGAGATGAGCACCAACCCCAAAAGTCAGATACGGCTGGACTTAATGTCACCTAAGGGCAACTTTATAAACTGGGTGGTGTGAGTTTTCCGGGTTGTATGGCCATGTTCCAGAAGCATTTTCTCCTAATGTTTCACCTACATCTGTAGGAGCCCCTGGTGGCACAATGGGTTAAATCCTTGTGCCTGTAGAACTGAAGACCAATAGGTCGCAGGTTCAAATCCGAGGAGAGCATGGATGAGTTCCCTCTGTCAGCTCCAGCTTCCCATGTGGGGACATGAGAGAAGCCTCCCAAAAGGATGGTAAAACATCAAAAACATCCAGGCACCCTCTGGGCAACGTCCTTGCAGATGACCAATTTTCTCAC